CGAAGGAGCGGCTGTGAAAACAGGCAGCTAAGTCGAAGGAGCGGCTGTGAAAACAGGCAGCAACGCTGTAAAAATAACCGGTCAGAACTGGTTTCACCTCACCTCTGTCTGAAGGCGTCCAGGTTGTAGTAGTGACAGGAAGTCCTCTTGCCACACTTCCTCCCCCACAGGATGCAGGTAGTGTCGATGACGCTGCCGTACAGAACTGGGCCGGGCATGAACGCTGCACACAGAACAAGAGTGTGAAAGTTGTCCTGCAGGCGCCGCCACCGAGCTGGGCTGTCCAGCTGCTCACTCTTATCAGCCTTGATGTGTTGTTATGTCTCTGTTCTAGTAAAAGTTGTTTGTTTGTGACCCGTGAAACCAAATTACTTCAAAACTGTTTGACATATTTCAGTTAATGATACCCCCAACTTTTAACGGTGCAAAGCATTCAGAATCAGAATCAGAATAAACTTTATTGGCATTGCACCGAGATACAAGGCGAACATGTACGTACAATCGTCCGAAGATAGGCGGAGTGCACGAAGCTGCAACTATAAAAAGCTCGGCCTCTTGTTCTTATTCAGAATAATATTTTGCTTAGACAAGTAAAGGAAAGAAAACGTGAGGAGAGACGATACAAAAAAAGATCTCTCACTCCGTGTCCTAGACAGGGCACGATTTGAGGCATCAAACAAACCTCCCACAGCAAAGCAACATAAACAGATGTTATACTTGAACATGTAGGCCGGGAAGACAGAGAATTTTTAAGGGAAAGTCGTAGCATAGTCCAGAGCCCCCCCCCCAGCCATTGTCCAGATAAGAGGTGACGTTCATCTTCAGCTCAGTTGAGGTTCTGTTACATGTCCACGGCCTTGGAGAAGAGAAGGGTGAGGAAACAGTCAAATCATCTTTGTTGTTTTCTGAACATTCCAGGAGGAGTTGAGATGAGTCCGGCACCAAGGCCACAGTTTGGGTCAGGCAGAACTCGTGAATTGTTGTTTCTGCCTTTAAAGTCTCGCTGGTACATATTCTCTGATGGAAACTCCAAAACAGCTGAATTGATCCTTTACTCCAAAGTCGAGCTCACAGCTTCTCCAGATTATTCCACCATTCATGAGTGCTGCCAGGGAGATCACAGTCCTGATAACAGCTGCTCCAATTCCCTGTCACAGCTCCACATTCAGTCTGAGCACTGTCAAGCTTCAACACCTCCACACAAAGTTGTAGACAACCAGATTCCACCAACCAAACAGTAGAATCTAGTCGTCATCATGAATCCAATTTGTTCCTTAGAGGTCAGAGGGTCCTCCTTACCCTGACTCCTGTCGGGAGAAGTTGATCGATTTTGTTGAGAGACCAGCTGATCCTTCCAATTAAGAGGTATGCAGGAAAAAAAGAGGCTTTTTAAGGTTCACAGGACAAAAGAGTGCAGCAGGGAAGCAGGTGGTGGGGTGGTGGTGGTGGTGGGGGGGGGGGACACGTCTGGTTTCACCGTAAAATGAGGAAAAAAATAAAAATAAAAATAAATTCTGGGGGATGATGTCCAGACGTTGCAGTTTAGACTACAACCCAATGAGTCTAGGCTAAAAATGTATAATGCTCGACATTAAAGTTATAATTTGTTTTAGTCCGGACGTCATTCTGCACGATTTGAGTCGGAACGATCCAACATGATCAGCCTGTGATGTTCGTTTGTTAGCTCGGGAGCTAACAGGCTGAAACTGAGGCTGTCCGTCCTTCAGCCGCAGGCCAGCACCGCCGCGCTTCAGGTGATTTAACGTGCGGTGTGAGGTTCTGTGGTTCAGAGAACACATATCTTTAAATTTACAATGTGAAACTCTTCTACGAACACGTTCTGATCGGTATTTGTGGCGAGCAGCTGGTGACGGACAGCAGCAGCTCTTCTGTGCACCTCCCTCCTCGTCATCGTTTTCAGCTGCACACTGACTCAGACCTTCCTCTTGTCTGATGAGGAGGATGAGAGGAGAACTTGCTCCGGTTCAAATTAAACGACAACGTCAAGAGTCCAAACTTAAAGTTCTAGTTGGACGGAGCAAACGGTCCATGTTGTCTCCCACAATGCACCACTGAACCAACTCACCAAGGACCCTGAACAGCATGTACTGGACTCCCACTGCAAAAGACTTGTCCTCAGGAGACACCGTCCTGCACAACAAAGACAAACACCATGTCGTGAGGGGGAGGAGAAGGAGGAGGAAGAAGAGAAGAGAGGAGAGGAGGAGGAGGAGAATGAGAAGGAGGAGGAGGAGTAGTAGGAGGAAGAAGATAGAATGTGGAATAGGAGGAGGAAGAAGAGAGATGTTTGAGAAAGAACAAGAGGAGGAAGGAGGAAGAAGTGGAGGAGGAGGAGGAGGAGGAGGAGGAAGAGGAGGAGTTGAAGCTCTGCTCAGAGGCTGAGAGTGGAGACATAAGAGCAGCAGGAAGTTGGATCTTCCTCAGTGAAGCACTGAGAAGTTAAAGGACAGAACCTTCTCTGAACCGGACCAGGTTCTGACAGAACCCTGCAGGGCTCTGTCAGAACCTGGTCTGGTCTGTACCTGAGGATCATCATGTAGGACGGCGTCTGGGAGAAGGAGGCGATGAAGCTGGTCAGACCCAGCAGCGCCATGAAGGGCAGCAGGAGGTGGGAGCAGCCGCTGCCGCAGGTCCCGGGCTGGGCTGAACCAGAACCGCTGACACACCGACACTCTGTGTAGTTCTGCAGGAAGACACAGACTGTCAGAATAAAAGCCCAGGGGGCAGGAAGA